GCGGAGAGATCAAAACAAAACAACGGTCACTAATTAGAAGTACAAAACGAGGATTTGTAAAGAAGAATGTCGGAGGATTTCGATATACGCCAAGAGGAGACTGGTTTTCCTTTGCTAAAGTAAGTAAACTGCATCCTTTGCTCCTGTTAACAAACGTTGGTTTTCACGAGACTCACCGGCACATGCGCAACGCTGACCTCATACGCCATCAGCCCGGAGCTGCTTCCGTGTACAACTGTTGGCGCAAGCTACATTAAAGTGATTATTACGTTTTGAATATGGATATTTTTCTTACAAAAACTCATCGATTCGCTACAGGAGGCCTTTGTTCACCCCCCAGAGCCGTGTGAGACACAAAAAAAACTTTTTTTATATAGATGGGCGCTTTTTATTTCACATATTTTGGACTGAAGCAATGCAACACCTGCTGACTGGCATTAAACCGCTTGAAAGATCAAAGACAATTTTTGATATAACTCCGACTGGATTTGTTTGAAAGAAGAAAGTCATATACACCTAGGATGCATTGAGGGTGAGTAATTTATGGGCTAATTTTCATTTTTGGGTGAACTAACCCTTTAAGATGCATTTGTGTCGATCCAAACACAAGTCAGTGTTTCCCACAGACTTACACTCTATTTGTGGCAGCACTTCCCCAAGGGAAATATAGGCTATAAAGCAGCAGATGGGTTGATTGATTGAAAATGCAAATTAATTCTCTGCCAGCAGGAGGCGCTTTAAGAATGGCTGTTTCCCCCGGTCACGGCTGCTCCACTCATAAAGGCTGCTTTATCAGGCATTATAGGAAAAATTAAATTAAATGGAAAAGATATTATCTGTAATAAATAAATAATAAAATATAAAAAATTACACTTATAATCATTTTTCATTTTATTTGGTATTAGCATTGGTTGGGACTGCAGCATTGGGTCTTGATTACATGACCTTCAAACAAAAAGAGGTTTTCAGCAATCCTAAATTTATTGTTTTCATCTGTCTTTTCAGACATTTGAGTTGCTTTTTTAAGGAGGTGTTTAGGATGCTGGTACATAAGAAGTGGTGGGTGGGAATGGTAACAAAGGGCCTAGTTAAGCTTTGGTAGAGCTGGTTGTTATGGTTACATTTTTGCATGCCTTTTGGCTGGTGAAATGCACCATGCATTCTTACAGGAGCCTTATTTAAATGCATGCTACATTCTCATCTGCTTTTGCAGCCTTTTTCCCACCTCTTTTTGGCTTTGAATCCTTCAGGCTCAAAACAAGCCATAGAACTGTTGGACCATCCACAGACAGACAAGTTTTCTGTTTACTTTGGCAGCAGTGTTATTTTATGAGGCTTCTAGAAGTTAACCTCTTCTCTATTTGTTAGTTGCATTGACACCTCTTGAGCAAATGCTTACGTCTTTATTGCCTGTGTGATGACTGGTTTCCTGTCTGTGGCATCTCTTTTTGCCTCTTCCTCAGCTACGAGCAGAGGTGAGCGGGCTGCAGGTTGAGCTAGAGGGCAAGCGGGCAGAGATGGACACGCTGGAGACGCTCCTGCAACGCAGAGACCGGGAGAACCAGGAGGGAGACAATCTACTGGCCATGCTCAGAGCTGACCTCAACACGGCCTCACAGCAAAGGTCAGCTGACCTACAGAAAGAGCGATTTCAGGGAACTGACAGTCTGCATACTGTTTTAGAGAACAACCTTATTTTCATACTTTGAGTTGATCATTAAAACTTTTATTTTGTCCCTGTCAGACAAGACCTGCAAACAGCACGTGACAAACTACAGCGGATGCTCATAGAGATGCTTCGAATCACTATGGCAACGGAAGAGCACATCAACCACAAGTTAGGGGCTTGTGTGTCAGGTGGTCAGGCTGGAGACAAAACACCCAACTCTATGACAGCCAGCAGTAGCCGTGATTCACGTGAAACAGGTATGTTTCTGTTAGTCTGCGAAATTATATCTATATTGATCAACCACTATTAAAAACAGTGTCCACTGTCCAATCATTTGATATATATAGAATGCATCTAAATATTTAAAGGGATAGTTCACCCAAAAATGAAAGTTGTCGTCATTTACTCACCCTCCACTTGTTCCAAACCTGTATGAGTTTCTTTCTTCTGTTGAACGCAAAAGAAGATATTTTGAAGAATGTTGGTTAGCAAACAGTTGCTGGTAGCCATTGATTTCTAGAGTATTTTTTTTCCTCCATACTATAGAAGTCAGTGACTAAAGAAACTCCTATTGATTTGGAACAACTTGAAAGTGAATAAATGATGACAGAATTTTATTTTTTTGGGTGGACTATCCCTTTAATGATTGCAAATGTGACAGTTGCTAAATCCTTTATTTTGCCCTATTTTTTGTTTCTTAATATTTTAGAACTAATATAAAAAAATCTTTGGCCGATTATCTCAAAGTTCCCGACTGTTGGTTAATATATTTGGTTGACTTTCAAATGGATTTTCATAATTAATTTATCGTTCCTTTTTTTTTTGTTTTTTTTTTTCCTTCCTTTTCAGGAGAGGTGATTGGCGTAGAGGGAGGTGCTGATTGTAGCGTGTGGTCTTCGGCTGTGGACGAGGGGTTGGAAATGTCTCAGAGGCTGTGTGAGAGTGTGTTCTCTGGGCCGGAGGGAGAGATGGAGGCGGAAGGCGAGGAGCTCATGCTGGGTGCCTGTACACGTCTACGCACCGCTGTTGATAAACTACTGGAGCTGCTCTCTGAGTCCTCACAGCAGGTACCACGCTTATATATACACACACACACCCCTGACCCTCCCACTACTGTCCGTTGTTTAGATTAGGCAATATCGATGAGCCACAAGTACTTGTGATGGGTCACTAACTCTTCCTCCCTAGCATTGCAGTGTTACATTTATGTACATGTTTGTTCTCAAAATGCTTTGTGGTATCAAAGTGACATCCTTTCCTTGTGCTTTAACTAAAGTTTTTTTTTTTTTTTTTAGTTTATAAATTAGTATTTACTTTTAACTTTTGAACGGCAGTTTACTGAAGTTAAGAGTCGGTAGGTCGCTGCTTTTTTTTCTTTCTCAAGGCTGGATTTATTTAAAATACAGTTAAAAACATTAATTGTGAAATGTTATTACAATATAAATCAACCTTTCTATTTTAACATTTATAGATTTATTCATGTGATGGCAAAACTGACTCCAGTCTTCAGTGTTACATCATCTAATTCTAATATGCTGATTTGGTGCTCAAGAAACATTTCTTCTTATAATAGATGAAAACAGTTGTTCTGCTTAATGTTTGTGGAAACTGAATTTTGTGTTTAGACTTTTTTTTCTTTTTTATTAATGTAGGTTTGTTATTTTCACTTTGCAATTTTAGTGCTTAACTTATTTTTATTTCTAATTTTTCACCTTGTGTGACTTTTTTTTTGTGTAGGAACCGTTTCATCCTATATTCCTTTTAATTCATGTCTGTTTTTTTCTCTCTTCCCGTCGTTTTCTACTGTAGTTGGAGCAGATGTGTGGTCTACAGGCTGTGCTAAATGAGCGGTTCAGAGATGGAGGTGAGGCCGGAGCGTCTCTGCTGTTTCAGAACTCTCAGCTCCTGGAGCAGCTGGATCATGAGGCCAGTCTGAAGAGCCAGTTACAACTGGAGCTGCACAAGGCCGAAGGTCAGAATACCTATATATGGTCTGTTGTTATCCATTGTATTCGTATCTCGGTTTCATAGTCTTATGACTTCTCATTTGCTGTCCATGTGTGTCTCCAGGTCTGATGGAAGGCTACGTAGCTGAGAAAGCCTCTTTGGAGGAGGCCCTTCAGCAGAAAGAGACACAGCAGCAGCGTCTGGCAGAGGAGCTGGAGAGCACACGCATCCATCTGCAGCAGCTCAGTGAAAATCACACCCTCCTCCTGCGTCAGAGAGAAGCCCTTACGGCCGGCCTCGGAGACACTGAGAAGGGTGAGAGAGGAAGGCTTTAGGGCCATGATTTAAGCTGACATGCTTTAGTTTAATTCTCAGAGTGAGTTACGCAACATGCAATTATGTAACATTAGTTTTGTCATTCGGTGCATGCCTTATAGTCATGACCTGTTACAGATGTGTCTGTTGCTTTGCACACAGAGTAGGGGTGTGTGATTATGTATCATCTATGATAATATCATAATTATAGTTTTAACAATATGCACAATAACTGACAATGACACTTGCTAAACCAAACAAAATTGCATTGAGTGCACACTTGAGTGCTGTTATTCCCAATATCTGCACAAATGTGATGCGATCTGGGAAAACCCGTCGGATGTCGCGCTGGGACGTTTTCAGGAAATTCGAATAAAAGGTAGAATGTAAATTATTTGTCAAAATTAGGTTTTCATTAAATTATTATTCTATAACATCTTGTCTATCATCTCTGAAAATATCTTGGCAAAATTCACTTGTTTATTTTAGAAAAAAAATATATTTATTGCAGCAAGCAGAAAAGACTGTCTTTCTCTTGTGTTAAGAACGCGTTGCGGAGGTCCGAGGTGCTTTCTCTTAACACCACAAAAACAGTTAACCTATCAAAATAAACCCCGTAACATATATAATAAAGGCACATTTCCCGCCAGTCCTGTGTAAACTACGGCACGCAAAGTTTTTTTAAATTTTTTTATTTTTTAATATCGTGAGATGGCAGAGCGCAAGAAAACAACGCAGTCTAAAGTAGCTGCTCACACGATCTTGCTCGTCTCAATCTGCTCAATCTTGGTGATGACAGTGCCGTAAACGATGTTAATGGAATATTTCACATCCAGAGATGAAGGATAGGATGATGAAGTTACTAAAGAGGAGGAGTCCGATGACAGTCTGTTATAGGCTATGCACAGGTGCGCGAACAGTTGTGCTGTGCTCGCTTTTCTAAATGTAAACTACAAGGTACATTATTCGTGCTATCTAAACATACAAGGGGTGATCAAAAGTTCAGAGACTATGCCCATGATAAACCGCGGACACAGTCCTCTTCAGGGTAACGTTAGTCTGTTTATGTAATGATGCAGTATAGCGCTCCTGACAGACAGCTCTCGTTAAACCCGTGAAGTGAAAGTGGAACCCGTCTCACTTTAAACCCGTTTTTCTCCAAATTCCATTCCTGAAAATAATAGCTATCAGCCAAATTCAGATAGCCATAACTTTTGTTACGTTCAAGCTATGGAGAAAAAAAAAAAACTGTTTTAGAAAGGGCTTGAAGCTTTCATATGGTATCAAAACCTAAAAAAGATACAATTTCACCATGTGGTGGGTTTTCCTAGATCGCATCACAAATGTGAACGTCATTAATTTGAAAAAAGTGCAGTAAACAATAGGGAAACATTTTGAGTTACATTTTTTTAGATGTGCTATTGCCTCTTTTTGTTTTTGTCAACAAAAAAAATCAAAACCACAGCAGAACGGTTTTGTGTCTCTGACCAACACCGCAGTGTTTTTTTACTGCATGCATCTGCGTTTTGACCAAATCAGTTTAATAAAAGATTCAATGACTGAATGAATCAGTAATTTGAACCCTAAAAAAGATACAATTTCACCATGTGGTGGGTTTTCCTAGATCGCATCACAAATGTGAATGTCATTAATTTGAGAAAAGTGCAGTAAACAATAGGGAAACATTTTGAGTTAAATTTTTTTTAGATGTGCTATTGCCTCTTTTTGTTTTTGTCAAAAAAAAAATTCAAAACCACAGCAGAACGGTTTTGTGTCTCTGACCAACACCGCAGTGTTTTTTTACTGCATGCATCTGCGTTTTGACCAAATCAGTTTAATAAAAGATTCAATGATTGAATGAATCAGTAATTTGAACAAATCTTTGAATGAATGATTCAATTACTTGCTGCCACCTACTGGCGGTTTTACTTTCATATTTAATTATGAAATAATTTTTAATAAATGAAATTATACTTTAAATATATTAATATAAAAAAAAAAATCCCGTAGGATTATTTATGCAATTGTAAATACAATTCAAGCCACCTCTGAACTACATTAAACAGTCTGTGTAAATACATTTAAATGCCACTTCAGATGCAGCTTCTGTTCCTCCTCTGCAGTGCAAAGATGAATTTTGTTGATACTGATTTTATTTGATTTGATGTCTATTTGATTGATTCTATTTTATCTTATTCATTAAATGTTAAGAATTTGAAGATGGTGCATATATCTAATAAAGTTTGATAATAAAAAAATTGTCGTTAAAAATCTCCTGGAAATCAGTTTAAAGGCCTTTCCACACTGAGCGCGAAAAAGCGAAACAAATATCGGACGCGATGACGCACTGGAATAAAACAATAGATTTCTATGGATGCTTCCACGTAGACCGCGAACATTCTCGCACTGAAAATGCGGAAAAAAAATTTCCGAACCAGTCCGACGAATCTTTTCAGTTTCGCAAAGCGAAAATACGGGCCGTCCTAGGATCACGTGACCAGAGCAGCTGCTGTTGCACAAAAGGGTGAGAGTGGTGGTGCCGTTTTGAAAACCAGTGTAAACAAACACAGAAGAAGAGTATCCCGGATAAGAGAAGAGAGTGGATGCTGAGTTCTTATTATCGTTAGTATTTGAGAACAGATTTATTCTCACATGTTCTTTATACAAAATAACATTTCTATTAATTGTCCATTGAATTATGTAATCACAGTAGAGCACCATCCGTTTTCTTCCACGTGCATGAGTGTTGTGAGTCAGAGCACGTTCACTCTTTTTCTACACATGAAATATGAAGCAAATGGACATGATTATGACTATATATTTTCTGTATGTTTTGTATGCCGCTCATGGTATTTTTATAGCAATAAAGGATGTTTATGACAAATAGTAGCAGTGTAGCGTTATTAAACATACAAAGAGTGCATGTGTCTGCTTATTAATCAAAATCAACTATTATAGATCACAATTGGAAGTTATTACAAGCACTCGATGATGGTTTAAAGTGGGTAAGCAAATACATTAATAATTACATACATTTTCAAGTGTAGCTTGATGCTAATTGTACTTCTAATTATATTTTAGGATGTAGCCTATTCTTGTAAGCGTTATAGATAGTTTGTTTCTGGTGTAGAACCTTATTTATCTTAATTTAATGCTGTATATTGAGCAGCGGATGATGTTAAATCCATTTACGAGATGCATATCTAAGGAAAAATGCATTGCTGGTCGGCGCCACCTAGCGTGCAGGCATGAATTAGCAGAAGGCGAACAATCGTTTCGCGTTCGGTGTGAAAGCACCATTCGTCTGCGATTCGCCTCGCTTTTTCGCATCACACATGGTGTGGAAAGGCCTTAAGGGGGGAAAATATTGCCTTGTAGTGGAAAAATGTGTCATTTCTGTGAACTAACCACTGCACAGAATATGTACATTTTCTGGAGTCGGCTGTCCATGACAGGCCCGAACCAGCAAAGGTACCAGCACCAAAACACACATGGCAAAATATTGTCTAATTGTTATCGACAAAATGCCGTAAAATATAGAATTATTTTTTGTCAATATTACACACCTAACACAGAGTGAAAATTTTAAGATTGTGTGATTTGTGATGAAGGGTTTAGTTTCATGCTACGAATTCTTTCTGCTCTGTAGGCTTCCTCAACTCCGAGGAAGAGACAGGTTTGTGATGATAATCTGCGACTGAAGTAAATGTTTGAGTTGAAAAATTACTTGTACAGTTTGACACTAAATGCATCCATTCCAGATGAAGTTTGCAATTTTTTTTTATTTTTAAATTTGTGGTTTATTAACACTTTTGTTTATCCTGTGATTGTTTTTTTGCAGTTTAACTTGTTCTAAACTTTTGGCTTTGAAGGTCTAAATACTGGTTAATTTCTCTTATGAGTCTTTCTTTGCCAATTTCTTCTTGATCCAGTTTGCTGTGCTTTATTTGTGCATTGAGAATGCATAAAGATCTGGAGCTCCTGTGCTTGTTTGCATCTTAATTTGCATTTGCAGTTTGTGTGTTTTGTTGACATGAACTCTGCTGTTACTCATTCATTTTATTCATTGGTCCTCCTGGGTTCTGTGCAGCTCTGCTAGTGGAGGCTGAGCGTCTGGGGCAGGAGTGTGTGGAGGTGCAGCGGCAGGCGGAGAAGGATTGCGGTGGTTTGGCGTCTCGTCTGCAGATGCTGGAACAGGCCCTGGAGGAGCAGGAGAGCCAGCAAGTGACAATTCCTGTGTCAACTGTGCAGCTCGCTTATAGTGCAGACGCGTTGTGGTGGTTTGAAGACATTTGCGCATTTTGAGTTAAAGAGAGAGAGCACGCAGTGATTCACTCATGCTGTTTGTGAAATTATGTCTCAGAAAATTTTAAATTTACTTTTTTAGTTATTTAATAAAGAAATATAAATTGTACCTTACCTTCAGCATTATAATTATTTTACCCGTGCCGGACAGAGTTTGAGATGTCATGTCATGCCAAACCTCTCACTGCAGGTGCGTCGTCAGCTTGAGATCTGCCTTTATAGAGACCGCCGATCAAACTTCCCAAAGCGATTATCGGCCAATAGCGATCGGTAGCCAATCAATCGGAGCACCCCTTCTGAATTTTTCATGCAGTTGCATTATTAATGTGCCTGTTTTTCTGGTCCTATATCAGACTGATAATGGAGCAAAAGAAAACATTAAAAATTACATGCTCCAGGCAAAATCTAAAAAAACACTCCTCTTCCGTACTGCATAGCTCACATACTCTGTCTGTGACGGAGACTAAAGCCATTCTGATAATCTGACAGCTTTGAATGATTTGAATGTTCATCTAGATGCTTTTTTTTCTTCTTTTTCTCCCTAACTGAATGTTGTAGATTGAGGACTTGGTTCTTCAGGTATGTTATCCAGCTGTAGTCATTATCGTGCTGGTGGAAAAATTGCATGGCTTATGCAGCATTTCAATTAGTAGAGCATGTAATAGATATTGTCCATTCACTGTCTTGTTTGTCAAATCTTTTTTTCAGCAGGTATACATCAGTCATGTCTTTAATTTGTGTTGTGTTTTCCTCTTCCATCCTACTCAATCACACACATATTCCCACACTTATTCTCTTTCCTCTGAAATGTCTTTGCTTACTACTGTAGTGGCTTCTGAAGGCTTTATTTAATAGCTTTACTGCCTAAACATTTGTGTCTGTTCATTTTAGGATTATCTTCTTGTAACCCACATCCTTTGCAAAACTGTTGCTTTAGCAAAATTAGTGCTGCTGTTTGGCATGTATTTCCATATGGATGTTGAGTATTTGTATTCAAATACTCACACATTCACTTTTCTTAGGACTGTGGCCTGTTCCTGTCCCTTGTTATGGATACATGTGACATTCTTTGTCTAATTTCGTACAGGTGGAAAGTCTTCAGGCTCTGATCAAAGATAAGATAGAAGACTATAGTGTACTGTTGTCAGCAAAAGAGCAGTGTCAGCGTGATGTGGAAGAACGTAATGAAGAGATTGAAAAATTGGCAGCTCGTATCCGAGAGTTGGAGCAGGCATTGCTAAGCTGTGCAGAGTCCAGCCGAACGGTCACACAGCTGGAGCAAGAACTTCAGAAAGCACGCAAGAACCTTCAGGAGCTCACACAGGTGCACAAAAATACACTTACTAGAGCAAATGTGTATTTAGAGATTACAAAACCCCTTACATGCATTTTTCACGGCTTCAGTTGGGTATTAATGTTTGGGTAGAATTGGAATTATTTTGTAGCATGAATATCTACATGGTTCTAACCAGTAGTGGTCCGTGTGTTTTTACTTTCAGGATAAAGAAGCTTTGCAGCAGCAGCAGTATGCTAATAAACTCCAGATCTCTGCCCTACAGTCCAAACTTGATGAGACCAGACACCGTTTCCCTGATATGACCCCTGAGCCCAACCTCCGGGAGCAGCTGGAAGCCACACAACAGGATCTGCAGACCAAAGAACAACAGGTGTGTATAAAAAGGAAGTCATAGAGATATGAAATTAGCTTTAACCGGTTGTTTTGTTTCTAGTTAGGACATGCTACCTGGAAATTGATTTAAGACTTTTCGTCTCTCTTAGGTGGAATTTCTGTCAGAGCGTATAAGTGAGCTTGAGAAGGATTTGGTAGTGAGAGAGGAAGGGTTTGGACAACTAACACTACAGCTGGAGCTCAAAAACAGAGAAAGCAGAGCTACAGAAGATCAGCTTCACGCACACATCACGCACCTGCAGGTAAGGCTGTGGTCTCAGTGTAGTCTGGCAATCCTATTGTGATAGGACGGCCAGCATGTTGACAGTCTTGGATAAATTGTATTTATAGCACAGAACTCATTGAATAGTGTAGGGGATTTAGTTGATGATTGGAGGATATTAAAAAACCAGGTGGACCTCATTGTGTGTCCTTTAGGAGACTGTGGACGCTTTGACAAGGCGACTAGAAGAGGGCAGCGACGAATCCATCCTTCAGCTGCCTTCTGCCCTTCTGGAGGAGAAGAATCTGGAGATCGACCACTTAAACCAGCAGATCCTCCAGCTGCAGCAGGAGCTTGATATGACCAATGATAATAAGGTAAAAAAAAGCATGTCCATGTATGTTTTTTTTATTTCCCCAAATCTCTTACTCAGAAGTACGAAAACATTAATGGAACTGTAATTAAGAGGAATCGGAATAGTTCCATTCCTTTAAAGGGGACTTTTATTATTTTGTACTGTTCTCTGAGGTCTACTAATAATGTCATCAAGATTTTTTTTAATCTAAAAACATAATTTAGAAGTAATAGGCTATTTTCTGTCCTGTTTTGACCCCCTCATCGGAATGCTCTGTTTGAATAGGTGTGGCGGATTGTAGACTCGGAAGTAAACGCCCACTGCTATGATTTTCTAACAGTTGTGTATGTTTGACAGCCTACATCCTTCATAGATGGGACGCTGCTGTGATTTAGGTTAAAAATGCATAAATACTTAGTACATATCAAATGATCTGTAATAACACACAAAGCAGTGATCACGTAATAAAAACAGTTACTCAAACTTGTGTGGTGTTACATTACTGTCGGATCCAATATAGTCGACACCGCATCGTCTATTAGTTTCAAACTTTCTGAAATTCTTGCGTCGAATTGTGCCTTGTTTGTAAACGAATCCGAGGTAAACTGAAGTGAACAAAGGACCAAGTTCTTACTGACGCGGTCTGGATCTTCGTTGGAAGTAAAGGTCATCCAGTCTTTCCTAATGTTGGGATCAGAAGGAAGGCAATGCAAAGTTTTTCCACATCCTGGCACTGCACAGCATCTTGTTGTCTTTGGAGCATCTTTATCGTTTGGTTTCTGCGTAGACCTGCGTTTGCCTCTCTCGTTATTTACACTACATGCACAAATCGGTGGGCGGGGCGAAAAAGGCAGTGATGTAGAAGTAGGCGTTGATCGTCTTCTGCAGAGGCGGGGTTTAGCCACACTTTTACGTCATAAAGTGGCACATTCCACAACCTGTCTTTTTGGCAGATTGGCTTCAATATAAGCTGTTTTTAGAATAACGAGAAAGTTTTGAGTTCTGAAACTTACAGGATGTTTTTATAGTACAATGACCTCTAATATGTCAAAACATCAAGGGAATTTTGATTTCTCAGTTCATGACCCCTTTAAAATCCCATCCCTGTTATTCAGGAAGATTGGAATACACCAAACTAAGCTAAACATTAAACCTTAGATCTAAAGACTTCCGTAATTTTATTTTGTGCTGATTTAAGTGTGCTGCTGATTTGTAACTAGTTCTTATTACCATTTTCAGACGCTAGAGGAAAAGCAATTTGAGATTGAAGAGCTGCGCTCTCTGGTTGAGCGTCTTCGTTGTGACCAGGAACGTTTACGGCAGGCAAAGGAAGAAGAGACTGAGCAGCTCCATGAAGTTATTAACAAGCTTCAAGAGGAGTTGAGCCAGCTTGACCCCAACCATCATGAAGTCAGTGACCTCAACACTGACAGCCCCGAGTCATCGGACTTCCCTTGGAACCCTCATCCTCGCCAGCAGAGGGCGCCCGAGGAAAGTCTGTGCCAGGAGCTCAGCAGCCACACGCTGCAATCGTCTCGCGCTCGCTTGCAGGAGTTACAGATTGAGCTGGAGCGAGCAGCTGGAGAGAAGGACTCTCTTCAGAGACTGTTGCTCTCCCAAGAGGAACAGTATGGAAGCCAGGTGGAGACACTCGGCCGGAGTCTCGGAGAGGAAAGGGGGAAGGTGGTCGTGTTGGAACAGGAGGCAAATGAGCTGAAACTCCAGCTAGAGGAGAAGCGGACAGAAGCTGAGAGATTGGCGGATCGTGTGGAAGTGTTGGAAGATACAGAACAAGCTCATCAGTCCAGGCTTAGAGAGTCTGAACTCCAGTTGAGAAGGGTAGAGGAGAGAAGAGACAAGGTCCAACAGGAGCTTGGCAGGCTGCAGGAGGAGGTGAAGAACCAGTGTGTTGAGAAGGAGCTTCTGGAAAACCAAATATCCAAACTGCAAAGCAACGAAGAGAAGTATCAGAATGAACTTGCCGCTTTACGATCCAAACTCAAAGAGCATGAGGAGAGCGCCCAAGTAAGCAAAGCCACCATCATTGCCTTGGAGGCAAGCAAAAAAGAACTGTTCGTTGAGAGAGAGGCTCTGAGAAAACGGGAGGGATGCCTCCAGGAGGAAATCGAGCGTTTGAAACAGGAAGTGACATCAAAGACAAATTACATAAAAGAACTATGTGAGCAACAGGAAGAGACTGTGGCTAAACAAGGTGAAGCTCAGAAAAAAGGACTGGTGAGTGTATATAGTTTTTGTTTTTGTAATGTAAAATATCCAAACTGCAAAGCAACGAAGAGAAGTATCAGAATGAACTTGCCGCTTTACGATCCAAACTCAAAGAGCATGAGGAGAGCGCCCAAGTAAGCAAAGCCACCATCATTGCCTTGGAGGCAAGCAAAAAAGAACTGTTCGTTGAGAGAGAGGCTCTGAGAAAACGGGAGGGATGCCTCCAGGAGGAAATAGAGCGTTTGAAACGGGAAGTGACATCAAAGACAAATTACATAAAAGAACTATGTGAGCAGCAGGAAGAGACTGTGGCTAAACAAGGTGAAGCTCAGAAAAAAGTACTGGTGAGTGTATATAGTTTTTGTTTCTTATTGTAATGTAATTTGAGCAACACTGCAGACAAACCATAATTGTTACGGAGTTGGGCTGTAAACTTTACTCTTTCTATGTACTATGATGTAAACAGTGAGGGAAGTTGCCTCAAGGTTTCATGCTTTACTGTAATTAGTTGCAGATCAACCATGTTGTGTGTGCAGTCTGGGTAGTGCCTAAAAATTACAGAAGAAAAAAGGGGAGGGACAAGAATAGAATGATTTAGTCCAACCCTCTGGCATGAGAGGACGTCTCACACAGGAAGTAAATTTACAGAACGAGGAAGTCTGTCTGAAGTCTTTTAAACCGTTTACTTTTAAAGCTTGATCTAGACTTGATTAGTCATGAGGTAAAGTGGAGAGTTGCACTGTTTATATTTGCTCTGTTTACAGTACGATGGAGCAGTATTTTAGCATATAACATTGAATTTCTTAGAACTTTCTAGTGGCAAGCCTATTTCTGTTTTGATTGAGCAGGAGGCAAAACTCAGATTGCTTTAACATGTAATAGCTGTATGTCATTTTCGGATTGTTTTATGTTCACTAATTAGCTGGGAATAGTTAGATGTTGAGTCATGCATTTTTACAGGTGACTTGCTGCATATTTGTAACTGCTGATATAAGACATTTTGTGTGTGTGTGGTGTAAAGAACTAACATTGAGTGTTTGTTTTTGCAGACATGTGCTGAAGAGACCTTGGCTAAAGCTGAGACTGCTTTACGTGAGAGAGAAGAGCAGCTGATCCACCTGAGGGCGGAGCATGATGCTCTAAGGGCGGAGCTAGCATCTGTGAAGGAGGGGCTTAGTACCAGCACAGAGAGAGCGGAGAAGCTACAGGAAGAGGGACAGGTGTGTGGATTAGTTCCTTTATTGATACACATTCTGTATCTTGTGGTTCGTCTGTTAAATTATTTCTGGCCTGACTTTTGTTCAAGGTTAGGATTTGGCAATTTACAGCCAAAGTTTTATTACCCAAGTGATACTGTACGTTATGAACCATGATTCACAAACTAGTTAGTTCCTGGCATCACTTAATTTTGAGTTTTGTTAACCATGAACATGCATGCCACTTTTTCATTGCAGCATGAAAAATTGATCACTTTTTTTTTTTTTCAATCTGAAAGTTTATGCAAATAAAATGAACTTTTTTTGTTTGAATACTTTTCAGAGTATTATTTGTTGTTTTGATTATGCTTTGTTAGAAATAATTATGTAGGTTTCATAGATTTGGACTTTTTGGGCAATCATGAATTATAAAGTAAATTTTCATAGTCAATTGAATACAAATTCAATACAATGGTATATTCAAATAATTCTCATCAATATTAAAAAATATATATTTATTTTGCATCTTTTTTTTTTTATGTGGCTTGTGTAATTTTACATTTCAAAGAATTTCTCTTTAAAAAAAAAAAAAAAAAAAGGTAAATGTAATGTTGTAACATTTAACACTTTTGAAATGTTTTCACATTCACTCATTAATGAGGAGTTGCTGCTGATTAGATACAATATGGGTTTAGTTATTTAGATATTTAGATAAAAGGATCTTTGGGTCCAAATGGACCCAGAATGCAAAAATTGTATACAGATCTAATGCATTATGAGGGTTTATCGAATAAGTAATTCCATAGAGCAAAAGCACCACTCACATTTTTATCATAAATGTAAAAATCAAGTTTGCTGATTTGATCTTTCACCATCAGACGAAAGATCGTGCATTGGCTGATCTCGAGGTCCATAACCAGCACCTGAAGGCGGAGTTGCGGAGTCTGCAGGATGACCTTGCTGTGCAAGAAGAAGAGTTAGCCTATCAGCAGCAGGAGCTAGAGCAGCTCCGACAGCGCTGCAACCTGCAGGACCACCATCCCAAACACGGCCACCGCTTTCTTGAAGGCCTCTCCCGTGACCCATCCCTCTCTGCTTCCCTATCTTCCCCAGAGATCCTGCGTAGGTTGGACTGCAGTGAAGAGCGCCCCTCTCATCTGCAGGTATCTGCATTGGCTGATCTCGAGGTCCATAACCAGCACCTGAAGGCGGAGTTGCGGAGTCTGCAGGATGACCTTGCTGTGCAAGAAGAAGAGTTAGCCTATCAGCAGCAGGAGCTAGAGCAGCTCCGACAGCGCTGCAACCTGCAGGACCACCATCCCAAACACGGCCACCGCTTTCTTGAAGGCCTCTCCCGTGACCCATCCCTCTCTGCTTCCCTATCTTCCCCAGAGATCCTGCGTAGGTTGGACTGCAGTGAAGAGCGCCCCTCTCATCTGCAGGTATCTCACCTCTCAGAGCTCAGTGCGCTACACAACGCCACCCTGGAGCTCCACAGCAAGCCTTCACCTATGGAGCGTGAAAAAGAGAGACCACACGCCAGACAAACTTTTATCCCACCTTCAGAGGAAGTCCCACCCAGCACACACACTGCATCCTCATGCTCACTTACTGTGTCTGAACACCTTTCTGTGCTCGACTCACTGGATGCAAATAAGGTAAGCATGCATTTAACGTCTTTTTCCCAAAGAAAGGTTCCAGTGCAAAATGGTAACCATTATTTTTCTCCAACCCTGCTGACATTTGGCCCCACCACAAAAAATTATACAGTTTATTATTAGCAAACTTTTTTTATATGTTTTTTAAATAGGGCTGGGTGATATGGCCAAAAGTAGTATCCAATATTTATATTAAAGTATTAATTTGACACCATTAATAAGGAGAGAAATGCATTACAAAATGCATTAGACCTCAAGAATGAATGTAAACGTAACTTACTCCACGGAGTAAGGTCCTTTATTTATTTTTTTAGGCCCACATGTTATTCCCTTTTATTTTTTCTGGTTTCTGTGTTTTGATAAATTTATCATCATTTCATTAGACAATTTCTGAATTCGTACATCTTCATTCATTCATCAATCTTTTAAAATGTAAACAAATAAAAATATAATTTACTACCAAACGTTTGCACACTTTAGTTTTTGTCCTAACAGCACTGCACAACAGAAGTATACTATATACATAAAAACATGGATGAAAAATGGTCCTGGTTGTATGTTAGTGGAAGTACAAGTAGAAGATTCCTGTCATTTCTTCAAATTAATGAATTTTTATTTTGCTGGTTTCTCATGAAGTTCAGTATTTTTTTTTCTCCCCAATAAAAGTCAATATTGATTTATCACCCAGCCTGAATGCCAGAAAATTGACTGTTTTTGGCCACACAATTTTGTGAATGTTGACTACACCTTTAGTTAATAGTTTATCTAATAGATCTGAAAATTCTCACACTTTGGATCCTCATGATTATTGCTGTATTTGTAGAAAATGCCCTAAACAAATTGCAATAGTTAGAATTGATGTCACATGTTATTGGTTCTCTGGTGACATTATTTTTGGCATTAATGGTGTGGTAATGGTGTAGATGTTATGTTTTAAGGTTGATGAATTGGACAATTCAGATGTGACACCATCTCGGTCTCCACTTGGTTCCACCTCTCCTGTGTCTGTGCCGGAGTGGGTCAGCGATGGATATGGCAGCAGTGAGTAGTGTACTAATGCATGCTTGCATTTCTGTAAGAGAGACTGCATATGGTTTTTACAAGGTTAAGATAATTTTCCTTGTTAGTTATCTTAATGTGTTTGTGTTTGTAGATGTGAGCTCAGAGTTGGAAGCCATGCTGAAGCTTGAGTTGGAGAATACAGAGCGTTTAGATGCTCATTTTGTAGAGTATCTGCGCTGCAGAGGAATGTCACCTGGAGAAAAAACAGATAGTGCTGCAGGCAGTATGCATGAGAGCCACGAGGCCCTCACACCTGAGTTACAGGTTAACAGTATTATAATGCTGTCCTCACTCCTCATACATGAAGAAATGATTGATTTTGTGATTAATTTATATAATTTGTATCATTCATAGGCTATGTTGAAGCGCGTCTACCAGGAAAGCTGCAGAATCCTGTCTTTGTCCCATCGCCCTGCCCCATCTGGCCAGTCACGCCCAGATTCTGAGCCTGCCCCACCCCACTCCTGGCAGAGGGAGAGACGGGCCTTACAGGAGACCATCCTATCACTCAGAGAGCTGCTCTGCAGGATGGCTGACAGGGAACCCAGGGTGAGGCTCATCTGTACATTGCTTACCTTATAGATCTTAAAGTCGCAATGAAACAGTAATGTAGTAGATTGTGTGTAGCAGTTTTTTCAGCAAAGTTTTAATCATCGTGTTAATAATTTATAGGCCTTGATTTGCTGATTAGATATGATGCAATAGGCTTTATAGGGTTAAAGTAGCTTGGAAATAAATCTGTAGATCCAGAGTTCGCATATGGTTGATGGTGTGCATTAGCATGTGTACAATCCAACAGCTCACCTGCATTTTAATTTTGTGTTTGTGTTGTGTATGCATATGAAGACTGACCAGGGGGATGTGGACTGGAGGCGTGAGCTATTGCAGGTGGTCCGCAGTGTGTTTGACAGTGAAAGGGAGTGGCTTCACTCTCAGCTTCAGGCTTTCATGGCAACTACTACTCAGATGGACCTCACCCCTTTGCTGGATCAGTTAAAGAAACTGTTTCAGAAGCAGGTGCTGAGCAGTTCATCATGTGATGCTGTTTTTGATGCTGATATTGCCATATTAAATGCATTAAAGTGCTTTTGTTATTCATTTACTGTTCTCTTTCAGGAGGAGCAGCAGTGGAGATCTCTAGAGCAGCTGTTCAATGCAGACCGTCACAGTCTATTGGCTGAGGTGCGCAGCCTGCATGCGCAGCTGCATGCAAGCACCCAGCAGAGCCAGGAACAGCTACGGCAGCTGCAGGATTCCCTGGACACTGCAAAAGAACAGGGCATGGAAGTGCAACATCAGCTGCGTAGAGATGGTATGTTCTTCACAATTCGAATAAGAAAAAAATGACAGCAAGTATTAAAAAGCCAACAAAAACCCTCCCAAAGGCAGATTTTAACTTTGTGCACTGTTTAGCTGAAGAGCTGGAGTTGCAGCTGCAACAGGAACAGACAGTGTCACATGATCTGCGCACCTCTCTGAAAGCTGAGAAAAGTAGGGGATTGGAGCAGCAGAGGCAGTTAGAGGCGGAGCTTAAGGCTGTGTCAGTGCTGAAGGCGGAGCTAGAGGAGACCAGGCTACAGCTTCAGTCTACATACAAAAATCTAGATGAATTGAAGAGCCACAATCAAAAGCTCAGGTACAGCAAACGTGTATGCACACCCTTTGAATATGAACTGTCACAGTAGTATGCCAAATGTTTTTTTTTTTCTGAAAAATGTTTCTTTGTCTTTAAGGCAAAAGCTGGAAAATGTTGAGGCTGAACATCAAGCCTGTCTACAGGCATTGGAGAAAGAGCAGGCTAGAGTACAGGAACTGCAGGAGGACCTTCAGCAGCAGCGACTCTTCGACCAGCAGACAGTTGAGCAAAACCACCAAACACAGGAGGTAAAACACATTTTTGATGTACTGACCTTATATTGGTGGCTTTTGTTCAGGTTAAATCATTTTGCCAATATGTGGTGGCTCTTTTTGTTTTGTGTGTTTTGAGTCATTGAATCATTTACTCAGTTGTAGTTGTTGTTGTCTGTGACCAAAAAAAGTCTAATGCTGCAGTCACACTAGAATTTGAGCTCACAAAATTCCTGTGGGCATTGAGATAGTTCTGATATGACATCACACTCTGTAGCATCTTTTTCAAAAACATAAATTCAAAAAACATTCAAAATCTAAAAAAGTACCATTTACTGTACCTTCATGTAATATAAATTTGCAGGTCAGAGTTCACCAAACTTAAACTTTGGAAAGCAACAAAATGTGAAACTTCGCGTAAGCTTATTTTTCTGGTCTTTGTATGCCGTATAATTGAAAGTCAGTGGAAAGAACAGTGTAGTGTGGCTGCCCCTTTTATTAGTAAATTAAGCAGTTCAATTTTTTCCTTGTTAATTAGATTTAAATGTTTAGTTCATTTCATTCACAAACCAGATGTGTCCGTTCATTTAGTTTACTTACGAATTAAAGTTTTGCTCCTTCGCCAAAACATAGTCGTTCAGTGAAGAAAGAGCGCATGCCCATTCATTAGATTCAACCAATGAAATGCTCTCACAGCCCAACTATAGCTCTCTATAGTCAGTCTGTGAAGGCAGGAAAGCAGTTGCAATAAAACCATTTGTAAAGGAAGAAAGTCAAGTCTAACTTTTAGCGGTTTTCACACAAAAAAAACAGTTTCAAACCTGCTTTATAGAAAATCATGATTTTAATGGTTATATCTTAATATCTGCATGACTTATGGTCGCATTAAGCAGACTAGAGCTATGCGATTAATTTCATGCTGGTTATTCACGCAGCTGAGATTTGATATTATATATTGCTTTACGTGAGTATACTGTATGTATGCGACTACATTTGGATATATTATATATCCAACTTTATATACACGGATCTGTGTGATAATATAGTTTACATTTTGCAATGCAATCATGCAGCTGAGACTTACTTTACATCGGTATACTGTATATATGCAGGTAAAATTGGATATACTCACAGTATTTGTAGAATTCATTAATAAAATAAATTTATTTAATTTAGTTATGTGGTGATATTGAGAATTCTGAAACCTGTGATGGTTTTGTTTGAGCCTAATTACAATGTAGTAATCCTTTTTTTTATTTTTTATTTTTTAAACAGTCTTTGCACCAAGCTTTGAATGAGCAAGCGTCACATGTCAGTCAGCTTAACTCCGCACTGGAACAGGAGCGCATCACATCCAGTAACCTGCGCTCTGAGCTCCAGATTGAGCAGTCTCGTTGTGAGGCCCTGTTGGCCCAGGAGCACGAACGCACCGAACTTGTGCTTTCCCGCCTGGAGGAGGAACGTTCCCGATCGGCGGAGCTCTCAGATTTGCTCTCTCGCCAAGCCCAGGAGCACACGCGCCGTTTAGAGGAGGAAGCCCGCAGACAGGAAGCGGCCAGTGCCCATGACAGAAAGTTTATTCAGGACCTACGGGCTCAATTGGAACAGGAGAGGCGTCAGGGGGAGGACCTGGCAGCCATGTTGGAACGTCTGCAAGGGCAGGTGCTGGAAGGGAAGCGCAGGCAAGCGGAGGAGGCAGAGCAGGAGACACACAAGGAGCAGGAGGAAGTGAGGAGGCTCCGTGCAGCTCTGGAGGGCCTGCAGACTCAGAAAACAGGGGTTGGACACACTCTAGATGCAGAGCGAGAGAGAGCTGCTCGGTTACAAACGGAGTTGGATGTGATGAAGGAAAAGATGAGAGTGGTGAAAGAGAGGGAGAAAGTGAGGGAGGAGCAGATGGAGAGGCAGAGGAAACAGGAGCAGGTGGAAAAGGAGCGACGACAGGAACGCACCAATGAGAAACTGGTGAGGAAAAAGACTCATCTTCTTAAAGGGATAGTTCACCCAGTAATGAATTTACGTATCCTCATTGTTCCAAACCCATAAGACCCAAAAACCTAAATTAAATCAGTTCATCAAAGCGATTGTATCTCTTCACAAGACTTGTAACTTTGGATTAAACTGCTTGATATGATTCATTTGATTTCTTTTTACAACGCCTTGTTTTTGGAACTTATGTTTTGGTTACCTTGTCTTTGAATGGAGGGTCAGAATCCGCTCAGGTTTCAAAAATGTCCTATTTTGTGTTTCGAATATTAAACAGTCCCATGGGTTTGGAATGAAATTAGGGTTAATAAACAATGACAATTTTCATTTTTGGATGTACTAACCCTTTAATTTGATATGTACATGAGCATTATAGTTTGCTGTCGGTGTTTTAGAGCACTGAAGTTATTTGATAAATTTTCTCAGTTGGAGTTGGAAGTGTTGCGTCAGAAGGATCAGCAGCGGTTGAGGCAGCTACAGCAGACGCTGGCTGACCTGGAGCAGAAAGAGAAACAACTCGCGTCAGATCGCCTGCAGAGAGACACGCACTCCAATGGCCTGACCTTTGGCCAGAATGCACTCACAAACATCCCTCAGGTAATATTCTCCAGCCATAAGTTTTGAATGGGTGTTAAGGTTTTTTTTTTTTTTTTTTTTTTTTTTTTAACTTGTAATGTTAACTTATAAACTCAAACCTAACCCAAAAATGTGCTTGGCTGTTTTTGTTTTACAAGCAAATATACCCAGACCTACTGATTCTCAAAAGCTTTCACTCAGATGAAAGTGTTTGTACCGATACCAAATGATTTATTTGACATTTAAAATGAAAGAAAAATAGGTTCTCAGGGACTTCAGTTGTGTTTTTGTATCCATTATAGTGGAAGTTAATGGGAACCAAAATTGTTCACACCAGTGTAAATGATTGGCACAAATATGGTTCCAATTTTCACATGTGACTTGTCTGTTCAGACCAATGTGGGGGAAAAATGGCAGACGCATTGAATGGAAATGAGAATTCACTCTCTGACCATAGGTGGTACCTTTGTTATCCTTGAACATAAAGGCATCTGAATGTTTTTGGCCAAATTGTGCAACCCTAAAGACAAGCAAAGCAAACCTGGAGATTTTTTGAATTGCTTTTTAAAGTGCAATTGCAATTATCAGGAATCACAATTTTTTGATCCTATAATGTAATGTATTTGTCATATATTTAATCTTCTGCTCAATAGGATTCTACCTCCTCCACTCCCTCACTAATGGAACGTTTGCTGAAGGAGAACACTGAGTTCTCTGAGTGTCTCGCTGCTCTGAGTGAGGAGAAGATCTCCCTCAAACACACTATATCCTGTTTGGAGAGAGACCTGCAAAGCCTGAAACGCCAGGAGCAGGTAATATTATTTTCAGTTGGTTTCTTTTTTTATTTTTATTATCCTTTTTTGAAAGGTGGACCTTTTTTAACATCAATCAAGACATAATGCAACCAGTAAATCCACTTGAAAAATGTTTGCATGATGTGTGAAGGCTGAAAGTGGTAGATGAATGCAGTTCATCTGTTTCAGTGTTCAGTCTGTATATTTTTTGGTTCTAGGTGTGATGCTCACTATATATATATATATATATATATATGTGTGTGTGTGTATATGTATGTGTATATATATATGTGTGTGTATATGTATGTATATATGTATATTTCTTTTTAATTGAAACAAATGAAGACATAACTGAAGACTAAAAAATACACCAAAGACAAACATAGAATGTGTAGTGCAATGATACTCCCCAACCTTCCAATACATGTGAGAAGAAAAAGTTTGTATAAACAAGTAATAATAACAATAGTAGTAATAATAATAATAATAATATACAGTTGTAAAATATAATATATACAGATCTAGTATGTACACATTACTATTAAAAATATATATAAAGAAAAAGGAGAGAAATATTTTTGTCATTTGAATATATGTAAAATTCAAAGTATAGTAAATAATTGTTTTTGATGCTCCATATAGATTTGGTTGTGTGTGTGTGTGTATATGTCTGTCTGTCCATCAGGTGAATTCTCCTGCTGTTACGGAGCAGTGCATGTTATCGGAGAAGCTGGCCTGGCAGAAGGAAAAAGCAACTCTTCAGGCTGCGCTGCGTAAAGCAGAGACTGAACTGTCAAAAGTCACTGCTAGCAATGAAAACAGACCCAACTATGACCTCTCCAACAACAAGGTTAGTTGGATTAAAGTTTCACAATGTATAATTTGTCCTACAGTTGTTTGGTCGAAAATGTGTACTTGAAGCACCCTTCTGAGATTTTTGTTAACATGTTATTTCCTCCCTACTCTGTTCACATGGAAGAAGGTTCTTCCGGGTTAAAAATAAGTTTTTAAAAAAAAAATTTTTTAAGGTCGTGTTTATTTAATTTAACAATTTTAACTTATTTGAATAATTTAAGAACACATTCACTGTTCTCTGATGTTGGTTAATGTTCAAATGAAATGCTGTTAAATAAAATGGTAGTGTTTTTTTTCACTCATGATTTAATTTATTATTTTTTTCCATCAACTCAAACCCCCCTGCAGTTCCCTTACAAACCCGGTTTAGGAAACCCTGGTGTTGTGAATGAGTCTTGTATAAGCGTGTCGCATGCTGCTTTAAAATTAAGATGTAAAAGTAAATTTTAAACCGTTTTAGTGTGTTTGAACTGCTTGCTTTATGAACCCGTTCCTATAGGTGCAGCGACTTTATGAGAGATACCTGCGAGCAGAGAGTTACAGGAAGTCTCTGGTTTATCAAAAGCGTTATCTGCTGTTGCTGCTGGGAGGGTTTCAAGAGTGTGAACAGGCTACTCTTGCGCTCATCGCTCGTATGGGTGCCCAGCCAACGTTGAGCCAATCACAGGTCTCCAGGCCTCTAAACCGCTTCAGAACGTCTGTCAGAGTAGTCATCGCTATCTCAAGGTAAGAAAAATGGCTATGTAGCATGATTAGTATGGCGTTTGGAAAATGCTGGCTTGTAACGGGTTCAAGTTTAGACATGTTTAAATTTGAATCTGAGACATTGAGTTTCTTAAACCTTTTTTTTTGCCTTAGTTTATGGGTGGTTACTTTAGTTTCTTATTGTTTTTTTAGACTGAAGTTCCTCACCAGGAAATGGCAGAGAGCTACAAGGAAAATCTCAGTAGGCAGTGCCACAGTTAACGGGCGTGGAACAGAACCAAGCACAGGTGCGTGTGTAAATCACATGATCTAGCTTGCAGACTTGATTTGGTAGTTCTACGGGTGATTTGAATCATTAGTCATTTACGTGCCGTCTTTCCTTCTGTCTTAGTTCCTGCTTTGAGGACTGAAGTGCTGAGGCCACAGCAGACTGGAGTTGCGTTCAACTCTCCACCCACACGTGATCATGCCTTGGCTCAAAGGGGCGTGGCCTCGTCTCTGGTGCCGCCAATCAAATCACCCTTCAGACTGAATCATAGGTGAAACATTTCTTACTACACAAACAGGTGTATGGTGTAATTCAAGATGTAATTCAAATTAAAAACAACCGATTTAATAACTTAACTACCCCTCTTTTCTCTTCTTATACCAAGAATGTACACAAGTCCAGTGATGGGACCAGCTGAACGCTCCTTCAGCTCTACCCAAGATCAAGAACGTTCCCTTACGGAGTATATCCAACATTTGGAGACTGTCCAGCAGCGTCTGGGAGCCGGTTGTCCAGGTAGGATGAGGCCAGCGGAAAATGACCTAAAATTACTGTCACTTTTACATAGGAACCACTCCAATCTTAGCCTGCATTAAGAAAATTGAGACAAATACACAAAATAATGTTCTTTTTAGCAGCATCATATGACCCCTTTAATTCAACAGCACTTGTGGCATCATGTTGATTACCATAGAAAATAATTTTGTTAAAAAAATCTCATGCTCACACATAAATGCTAAATCAAACAAATGCTAACACTGCATTTATTTGATCAGATATACAGTAAAACTAATATTTTCGCATTTTATTACAATTTCAAATGACTTTTTCTGTTTTACATTTTTAAAGCGTAATTTATTCCGGTGACTGGCAAAGCTGAATTTCTCAGCAGCCATTACTCCAGTCTTCAGCACCTCAGAATGATTTCTGAAGGATCATATGACACTGACTTGGTGCTAAGAAACTTTTTTTCTTATTATCAGTGTTGAAAACGGTTGCGCTGCTTAATATATTTGTGGAAACTGTGATACATTTCTTCTCAGGATTCTTTGATGAACAGAAATTACAAAAGAACAGCATTCATTTGAAATGGAAAACTTTTGTAACAAGTTTTTTTTTAGTGTCACTTTTGATCAATTTATCTGAATATAATTAACTTATTAAAATATATATATATATCTCACTGACCCCAAACTTTTGATTGTAGTGTATATATTGTGGTGTATTAGTTGCATTAAACCTGGAACATTTAAAAAAAAAAAAAAACATTTAAAATCTGCACTGACCTCTACTGGACAACTGAAGCACATCACCAAACGATCACTCTTGAATGGTGTTCTTGAATTCAGATAGTAGTGGAATTTGTCAAAACTGTACTTACACCGTTTCTGTAACTGATTACACAAGACGGTTAGTTTTTTTTTTTTTACATTACTAGGATCCCTATTGACACCTAAAGGTGAAAGTATCCAAAACCTTGCATAATTTGTGACCTCTGACCTTACCATCTTACAGTCCCCAGAGCGAACAGGAGGCATAGCCTCCCTGATACGATGAGCTATCAGCAGAAGTGGTTTCTAGAAAATAGAACCTGGCTGTATTTGAGTTGTTTGGCACCGGGGTCCATGTGGCCTTTAGGTGAGTGACGGTCTGGCCTCACTTCCATGTTACCCAGTCACAGAGGAGTTCAGAGAGAGGTTCACCTTCTTGTGTGATCAGTCACGTTCTGGTTGGTCTTGTTTCACACAGGTGTGCATGCCTGTTTGTCTGCACGAATGCTCCCATGTGCCTGTGCACTGTTTGTAGGGTGATTGGCAGGTTAGGCAAATGCAGGAATGATATTTCTAATCATATTGTGTTTGTGTATTTTTAATTTTTTTGCAGGTTCACCATCAATGCTTCCATATGCCAGAAAATCTGATCGATGAATGAAGAAATCTTGTCACTAGTGCCAGTCTGTGTTTTACATTCATACATTTTTAATTGCCATCTTTTTTTTATGCTTTATCATTTTAGCTGAAACATTGTCACCGATAACGTGTTATTTTGTTTTGCAACCAGTGCTGGATATTTTCACTTTTTTTTTGTATACAATTTTTGAATGGTTTGTAAATGTTCACAGTTTATATATATATTTTTTTTACATGTTTCACAATAAGCATTTATTAAGACATTTGCACTTGAATTTGTGATTTTTATGGATGTCACTGTTTAAATGCACATGGTTGGACATGTTTTGTAAAATGTTTTATATTCTTTCTTTTTTTTATGGACAGTATTTCTATGAAAATCAATAAATATTTTAGTCTAAATGTAGTTATTTTTGGTCTGTCATTTCAATAAAATAAAAAAAATAAAAAAGTATAGTTCACACAAAAATGAAAATTCTGACATTCAGAATCTGGGTAACCGAACAGTTTCTGGTGCTGATTGACTTCCATAGTGTTTTTTTCCCCATTCTGTGGAAGTCAATGGGGACCAACAACTTTGGTTACCCACATTTTTTTTTAAATATCTTTTTATGTTCAACAGAAAAAAGAAATTCATACAGGTTAAGCCTAGGGCCCCTAGCTGGGGAAGGGCCCTAGAGAAAAAAAATATGGGCTTAATATAAAATACAATTTGATATTTATTTCCACATTGTATGTGTTGGCTATGATGTTACACTTTTGTCATTGTTGCTTTCCTTTTAGAGTCTCAAGATTGCATTTCTTAGTAGACTTAAAAGGGTTCATAAAATGGAAAATATGTAGTTGATTTTTTTTGTTGAAGATCTTTGCACAGTGTGCCCCATCTACTACTACAATATTCTGAATTGGTCAGTTCACAGGAAGTAATATTTGTGCATATTTTATATATCTTACAAGTTCTGACATATACTAAAGTAGCTTTTGCTTATTGATTTCATTGCTGGAAAATAAATAATTCTATCTTTTTGACAGAAGACAGAAAATAAGGAATGGCATAAAATCTCGATTTAAAGGAAGATATCGGATAAATTAGTAGTAAGTTTTCGATAGGCCTGAAATTATCTTAAATAGCATAACAAACAGTAGCGTATTAACTGTTGAATGCTGCCTGTTAGTGGAGGATGTTAACGTTATGTTGGGATTTAGATGGAAAAAAAATCTCCAAAATTGGAAATATACGTTGCCATTTGGAAATCAGGAAATAATCCGTGTTAAAATATATTGTTGTAGTTTAAAAACAAAATACATGGCCGTAAAAAACTACGTTTGCGAGAAACGTCATAATGCGTCCACATCTGCGCATGCGCTGAAATTATGTTGCAAATAGATGCAATTTTATTATTGTGCAATTCATTTGTAAACGAATATGTGAATCGTACTGCAAAGTTTAGAGTTTATTAAAAACATCTTTTCAGATTCTGAAATCGGATTGGATTCATTCGATTGGAAGAAAATCAGCGCGCTCTGCCAACTTGCTTGCTGCTGTATTTAGCTCAGGTTTCGGCGTTTAATCTTGTTCATACTTCACTTTTCGAGAGCCCACCTAAGGAATTATACTATGATATTTCTATATCGTTTCATTGATACAAGTGAAGAAGAGTGGTGGTGTGTCTTCGCGTAAGGCCCGGATAGCTCAGTCGGTAGAGCATCAGACTTTTAATCTGAGGGTCCAGGGTTCAAGTCCCTGTTCGGGCGAAACGGTTTTTTGTTTTTTTGTGGCTTTTACTAACTAAAAATGTGCGTGCCAGTACAGTGTACATCTTTCAACCCTTTAATTCACGAAGTAATAAAACATTAAGATTATTGTAGTTGGCTTTAATTTTAAAATCATATCTATTTAGATTTTAAGAATTGTACACAAACTATTAAATACATTTTATTGATGAATTTAACCTGTACCAAATGTAAACATACAACACTGTCCAGAAAACTGAAAACAAAAAATGGAAAATGCACAGCTGCAGTTGATAGATTAGTTAAGGTCACAGAAGCATTTTACAGGCCAGTTATTACAAACACAAACCAGTATAAAGGTCAAGGGTCATGCACAATTTGCACCTTGAACACTCTCTAAGCACAATGTATGCGAGCAGTGTGAGATATGAGAATGCCAGTTTATGAGAAACAAAATATATACATTTTGCCATTTTATGCGGTGATGGTCTCTGACTGAGATCCAAGATCTTTGCAGTCTCACACAAAGTACACAAAGGTTTGTTTACTTCCCTTTTAGCAGTTAAGGGTTTGAGGATGGAAGCTGCAACAGTCTGCAATTACCCAATAAGTGTCATGCACTTTCTGGGCAACTCAAGTGCTAAAAACAAGCCGGTCCTGAGATATATGAAATATATGTTTTACGTAACCCCCTCATTCTCATAGATGTTTCATTCACCTGAGCCATGGTAAATAAACTGAAAATGTAAGTGGAAAAAAAAATCCTGGGGTTTTATCCTATAGACAGAAATATACAACTTCCTTTAAAACTGCATGTTAATAAAAATAAGTATTGATTTAACCACTGCCTTGGAGTCGTCCTTTGGATATGAATAAAGTGCATTCTTATTTGATGTTGTGCAAATAATAAAAATTAAGAGAGCATGCATTATTTCTACAGTGCCAGGCTTGAATGATCTTCAGTGGTTTTCCCCCCTCACAGAAATCTGTGTTTGACAAAATCTGTTTTTGCAAAGCTAAAAAGTTCATATTGGTACATTGCATATTATAAATAGTTCTTCCTCCTATTAAAATTATTCAAAGCAGCTCAAAAATTCTAAGCACAGATTTCCTACATCAACACCATGATTTACTTTTTGACAAGAACGGAAATGTCAGGGTCAACTGAACACAATCCTATTAGACCGTTTACTCGAAGGACTTGGGGATGCTTTCTGTCAAATAGACTTTCCTATTCGCAATGAAGTATTTTACAGAACCAGTTTTGCAGCTTCTGAAAGGTGGATCAATATGTGAGAACTATGAATATTTGAGTGATTTTGATGTAGTTCATCATTCCCTCAGAAGCTCAAACCATTACAATGCATCTGAAAATTTGACACGATGCCACTATGTGACGTACAATAATTAAGCTCGGACTCGAGTTTTGTCCAAGAGTATATTTTTATCAGTGTCCAAAAGTAAATGGATGCTGTGAGTCTCTCTTGAGTACTTCATCTACGATACACCTGTTAAGTCCCCTAAAAAAAGGCCAGAACACAGAAATGATTATTAGGAATCCAGCACATATCACTGTTGCTTCATATTTACACTTGCATGTTGTACCTTATGAATTTGTGGTGGTAGCTCATCCTCAGACCCCTCCTCGGGCACTGGGTCATGATGTCTGCCCATTTGGTTCTCCTCAGACCAGCCACCCATAGGCATACGAGGAGTTCTCTGGACTCGAAAGCTTCCAGAAACAAGATCTACAGGAGACAGAATTTGTCGCCCATGTAAAGACTAATGAGGGGGTGGCACCTTTACATTCTTATGAATTGCAAATAGATTTGTAGTACCTGAGGCTCCGCCGTAGCGCCGTTGGCCTCTGCTCTGCTGTGCTGGCCCCTCCTGGTGTGAGGTAGTTGGGAAAGTGCTGGACCGGGGGAAGTTGCGGGTGGCTTCTATGTCCTCATTGACACTCTCGCTGCTCTCGTCACTCTCCTGTCTGTGCCAGGTGTGTCGAGACACCTCACCTCGCGACTGCTGCTTGTGCATCTACACATACATTGGATATAGTTATTAATATTCAGGTGCAGACTAGAGACTGACCTCTTTCAACACATTATTGGTTAAAAGGCTGATTTGGACCAGACAGTGAAGGAAAAGCAGCCAAGATGCCCAGCATTCGTAGAAAGTATAGCTAGTGATATTCTTGCCATGTGTTGATCATGACAGTCTCACATTCTTGGATCAGTCCCATACATGTGCATTCACTGATTCCATAATTCCGTAATAAAGTTTTGGTTATATCAACTGTTCATGTGGTGTTTTACCTCATGCATGTAGAGGGCATGAATGCTCATCTCTGTGGAGGCGTATTCTGATAGGATCATACTGGTCAGCTGGCCTTCCCAGGCACTACTGCCAGAGCTGATGGTACGGGCATCAGTGCTAGATGAGGATGATCCAAGAGTTTAGAAGGAGAGAAAAAAGAACAAATTAATGATATGAAATAGTTTTAATATTGGCAAGGACATTTTAAAATCAGTCTAGCTGTAAAGATGCAAAGACACATACATTGCCGTTGAAAAGAAGTATCATAGAGGCTGCATTTATTTGATATAAAATATAGTAAAAATAGTAATAGAGTGAAATATTCTAATTCATTCTATATATTTTTTAAATGTAATTTATTCCTGTGATTTCAAAGCTGTTTTCCAGCAGCCATTACCCCAGTCTTTAGTGTCACATGATCCTTCAAAAATCATTCTAATATGCTGATTTGGTGCTTAAGTAACATTTCTTAATATTATCAATGTTGAAAACAGTTGTGCTGCTTAATGTTTGTGAAACTGTGATGCATTGTTTTGAGGATTCTTGATGACAGCATTTATCTGAAATAGAAATCTTTTGTAGCATAAATGTCTTTGTTGTTTTGTTTGTTTTTAACTTTGTTTTAATGTTAATGAACACTGATTCATCCCAATGAGAGTGCATGTACCCAAAGCTACTCAAAGTGAATTCTAGGGTCATTCTCAAAATCAATTAAAACGCAATAGACTTAGGCTTAGAATAATAGAGAAAATCACAAATATAATTAATAAAGCATTAATGTAATATATGAAAAAATATTTTATAACAACACAATCATATATTGTATTGGTATATATTCTATTAATTATTTTAATGAATATGTTACACTTTTATTCAGTCATTACCCTGAGCCTGTCACCACAGCTGGATGGTCAGGTCGTGGCAGTCTGGCAGATGGGTAGCTGCCCCGCAGGTGTAGACTCGTGCTGACTGGAGAGATGGAATGGAGGGCGGATGCCCCCTCACTCACTCCAGTGGACACAGGATTGATGGAGCCCTCTCGAGCCAGATGCAGCGAGGCCAAGGAAGGGGGTCCCATCAGGAGATTTGCAATAAGACTGCGAGGCTGAAATGAAACAACACCCAAAATCAGACCT